ATTTCTGATTAAAAGTTTATGCTTATTGTATTTAAAAATTGGTTTATTTATTAGGAATTATAGGTAGGTTAAACATACATGATTAGGTTAATTATAAATTATCTTTTATCACAATGCAAAGAATTCTTAGTTATAGCTCCAACAGGTGTTGCTGCTCAAAATATTGAAGGTAAAACTATACATTCTTAACTAAAAATCTGCCCTTCAACTAATAATTTTAAAAGTCTTGCATTTTATAATCAAGAATATAGTCAACACCTTCTACAAATTTATGTTATTATTATTGATGAAATATCTATAATATCAGCAAATCTACTAACTTTTATTAGTAATCTTTTTTCTCGCCTACATAACAATATTTTGCTATTTGGTAAAATTAGAGTTTTGTTAATTGGTGATCTTTTTCAATTACCCCTGTTAATGGTGTTCAAGTTTTTCACTCACCAGTCTGGTCTGAATTTTATCCTTTATTCTTAACAACCCTCATAGACAGGATCGTAACTCTAATTTCTATAAAATCTTAGAAGAAATTCAAGTAGGAAATTTATTATCCACCTCTTTACAAATTATTGAAGAAAAAATAAAAAATTATTCTCTACGTTCTCCAACAGATACCACTCATATTGTTAGATTTTGATCTATAACAGATGAAATAAATAAATTAGCTTGTTTATCTTTACCTTCAAATTTAGAAGAATTTGAACCTATCATCTCAACAGCAATTGATCATATTAATTGTGAAGAGTATAATTCAACAGAAAACAATTGTGCTTTTCGTTACCAAACAAACTTATCTTCTACCTTAATTTGCAACAAAGTGCATGTATTATGTATCTGAACAACCTTTTGTTTAATCAAGGTTTATACAATAGTTCTATTGGTATTATTTCAAATATTATAGATGAAAATACAATAGATGTTGCATTTTCAACAACACAAACAATTATCTCTGCTACTATAAAAAAAACTACAAAACACTTCAATTTAAATGGCACACCTGCTAGTTGACACCAATTCCTCTTTCAAAATGCTTTTGCACTTACAGTGCATAAGACACAAGGTTTAATAATACCCATGTTTCAATATTAGCTGATAACCAAATATTTGCATATGGTCAATCTTATATAGCATTTAGCAGAGCTTCATCATGGGACTCATTAAACATCTCATTATTCGAACTAGATGCTATCAAGACAGATCTAGCTGTAATCATCAAATATCAACAGCTAATATCACTATACAATGACAACTTCAGTCAATTCATTACACAATAATAATTAATTTACCTTGTATATTACTATTTCACAGGATTTAATCTATATATATATTGTGTTAAACAATTATCAAAATCTGACTATTTCTCATTACATACAAAAATCAGTTATCTTAGTCAATTATTGACATTATTTAAGCTGTTTTCAAGCACCTACCTTAATGAGTTAACCAAACTATTTGATTGGCTGAAAAATTTGATTGTAGTCATAATTTCAGTCAAAAAACCTGGGCTGTGATCACCAATTTATTTTTCATAAAACTGCAGTCATTAGTTAAAATTTATCACAACAGAGTAATCAAAGAGATTACTCAACCTCAAATACATTATCTATTTCTTTTTTTTCATAATATGGATCTCAACAAGACAACATCGCTACCCAAAATTAATCTACTCTTAAAACAAATAAAAGACATTTAATATTCAAAATAAAAAAAAATATTTTTTTATATGTCATATATATTTGTTAAAAAATGTTCATGCTATGTTTCAATATCACTTTGTTTAACATTAACGAATCTATAAAGTAGCATTGTTGAATATAATTGTTGTCATAATGACTTATAGCCAAATATGGCTGCTGTTTCAATGATAAGTTATTTGTGAAATTGTTAAGATGATAGATTTCAAACAACAAAGTCTTAGAAGCTAAATTTTTAAGAAACTGAGTAATCACCTTTGGAACCATAATGGAAATCAGAGAACGAAATAGCTCAAGCACCAATCACAACCTTTATTTCAATTGATCGTAGCGTTTGAATGTCACCTCGATCACTAGCTAATTACATTAAGGGAGGGAGGCACTTAAGAATGGCCTTAACCAACTTAGTTGACTAAAATCAAATAAACAAATATCTATTCTACTCAAAAATTTTATTCATGCTTTATTTTATATTTGATTCTAAACTACCCACCAACCATATTCATATTTTATATCATAATTTATTCCAAATATAATATTGTTCTTAATTATAACCTAATCATTATATGTTTAACCTACCTATAATTCCTAATAAATAAACCAATTTTTAAATACAATAAGCATAAACTTTTAATCAGAAAT